CGTTCCTACTCCTGTCCTAAGTCATTCAGTGATGCTTCCTCTCTTTCCCCTTCACTCTCTCTACTCCAGACATACTGGCTTGTCTGTTCTCAAAAGTATCGTGTTCTCTCCACTGCAGGGTTTTTGCATATGCTGCCCCCTCAGCCTGGGCGTTCTCACAATCCCTCTTTGCTTAGGAAACTACACTCCATCCTTAGAGGATGTCTTCCCTGACCACTTCTCACTCAACCCGAGTCTAGGTCCATATCCGTCATTACATGTTCTTAGAGCAGCGTCTCTCTCTTTCCTCACTTTTATCTCAGCTTGCAGGGTTATTTGGGGGTTGTTTATTTGTTTAGACTCCTCTTCCCCATAAGACTGTAAGCTCCACAATGGGAACAATGTGTCTATTTTTGCTCGTCATTGCATCACCAAAGCATAGTATATTGCCTGGAATATAGCAGGTGCTCTTTACATACTTATTGAATGGCTGAATGAGCTCATATAATCCTCCCAACAAGCCTGTGAAAATTCTGCCTGAGTCCAGTGCTCTTTCCCTGCTCTGACTTCCTATAGCACCTGCTCTCTTGGCATTATATGATGGGGAGCAATAGACGCTGAAAGACATGAAGGGCTCTGGAGCCTGACCAACTGGATTCAAATCCCCCCTCTGCCACTTCCCAGCTGTGTGACATTGGGTAAGATCCTTAACATCTCTGTGCTTTAGTTTCCTCTTCTATAAAATGCCAGTAATAATAGTACCTGTCTCATGGGATGGTTGTAAGGATTAAATAAGTGAGCTTCTACAAATTCTGTTATAAGGGTTTGGCACGTAGTGTGTGCCCCATTAATCTTAGTTATTATTTGTATTATTAACAGAAAGAGCATTGATTCTGGGATTAGATGAGTCTGGTTTTCTCTCATATTTGCAAATTATTCCCTGGGTGGACAAGTCACGTCACACCCCTGAGCCTGAGTTTCCCCATCTGTTAAGTTGGGATCTCAAAGCCTACTTCAGAGAAGGCCATTGTGAGAGTAGATAGGATGAGAACAAAGCACTCAGCACAGTGCCCAGTGCATGGTAGTTCCCTTCCTGATGGGTTGAATTGGTCCCCGTTGCCTCTTAGACAAGAAGCTCCCTGAAGTTAGGCTTCACATCTGCCTTATTCAGGGCTGTTTTCCCCAGCCCCTCTGTACCTGGCACATAGTAGGTGTTCAACAAGTAGTTCTTTACTGAGTGAATGAATCAATAATGACAGGGACCATGCTTTGCTCATCTTTGACCAACCCGAGACTAGTGCAATACCTAGTATCTAATTTCAATAAATGTTTGTTGACAGAATAGATTTTTAAAATGCTATTCATTTCTGTTCCCAGTCCCACTTAAGTGTCTGAACTGAACTGAGAAAGATACTTGTTAACTTATCCTGAATCTCTCTAGCCTTAGTATTTTTATTTGTAAAATGAGGCTATTAATAACATCTACCTCATAAGAGTGCTCTGAAAAGTAAATGAAGCAATATGTGCTCAGCACATTGAAAATGTTGGTTCATTATTATTCCCTTCCCTGAGCCTTGGTTTCCTCATCTGTGAAATGGGCATCCACTCCCACATTTATTCATTCATTACTCAACAAACACAGCGCCCATATGTGAGGCATTGTAGTTAAGACCTAGGGCAGTTAGAGAAGTGAACGAGCCATGGTCCCTGCCGTGAGGATCTAAGTTTGCTGTGGGACAGTATATGAATAATAAAAATCAAGTGAGAGAAGAGCCATAATGTGTGTGAAGTCTGTAGGGGTTAGGCGTATGGGGGTGGGATGGGAGCTCCAGAGTTTCAGTGAGCTTGCTAGGGAGATTATAAAAGGTTATGGTATCACCAGCTTGGTGTAATCACCAACATGACATCAGTTTGAAATAGAGTTGTCCCCTCTGGGCTCTGGTTTTTGTAGGCTGAATCTGCGGAATCCTGATGCAGCCTCAATTTCTACCCTGGCTCACCAGCAATCCAGAGACTGGTCTAGGTGTCACAATCACAGTGAGGATCCAGTTCAAACAGATACAGCCTTCTGAGACTCTGCCTTGCCTTCCTCCCCTTCTCCTGGGTCCTCCCTTCTCAGGGGACTGAACAGTGATTCCCCTACACTCTCCATGTGGAATGATGTGCGGTGCCTCCAATGCCTGCTGGGTTCCTGCCTAGTTCTCCAAAGACAAGCCTCCCCCTTCCCAAGGTGGGTTCCGGAAGGGAAATTCTTGGGCGTTGGAGATTGGAAGAAGCCAGACCAGGTCTCTGGGCTCCTGCACCCAAGTGGACCACATGCTTGTCTCTGATGTTCACAGCTGGTTTCAGGGAACTGAGTGCCGCCAATCAAACTCAGGAGAGACTGAAACATCTAAATTAGAATTTTACATTTAAGCCAGGTGTGCTTGTGGGGCTGGGAGGGACTAGTCAACTCCAGTGACCAAAATATTTGCACCTGTTACCCAGAGCTATCTTTTATTCTCAATTGAAAGAAATTTACATGCCAAGGGTATTTAAACATCAGGGGAGGGTCTGCTGTCAGTGGCCTGGCCAGAGGCAGAAGGATGTCTGAGTCCCAACGGCCAAGGGTAACAGGCCTCAGGGAATAAGCAAGATTTACGAGAGAGCCCGTCTGGGCCGCTTCTTCTGTCGGAAAGGCCTCCCTGCAGTATTTTCTGTCTCATCAACACTGCATTTCATTTTAAATTGCAGCTGAAAGCAGGTATTTTCCCTCTTGCCTATTACACCTCTTAATTTGTCTCTCCCTCTGCTGTTATTTGTCTCTATAAAGTGTTTTGCGTGAAAGACCCACACAGCACAATGTTTCTTTGCCTTGGGTTTAATAGGAGGGGAAGGCACAGAGAGACTTGAGTCCGAGGAGGAAAGTGTGAGGGCCTTGAGGTCGAGACACATCTGTGTCTGGGAATATACGCCTGGCAGTGTGTACGTGTGTTTGGACCTATCTGTTGCGTGAGTGTCTGTGGGTATGTGTGTACATGTCAATATTTGTACTAATATGTATTACATGTGCTTTGGTATAATCACTTATACTTAAATTGAGTGCTTTGGTATAATCACATACCTAAATTAAGTGTATGTTTGTGTGCAGGTACACACCCACATGCAGTCTCTGAGTGCATCTGGAGCTATGCATAGAAGCACACATGTGCACATAAACACGCAGGCATCTGGGTACGCATGTCACATGCTGTGTGTGGTCTTCTACGCACACGACCAAGGTTCCTTCTCCTTCCTTGCACTCAAACCATTGTGCTTAGCATCCCTCCCTGCCCCACCCAGGGGCCCAGGCCTGGTTTGGGGCCCGTAGGCAAAGGAAGGCAGAGCTGTGGTCTGCGGGGGGTGCAGTGGAAACACTGCCTTAGCCAGGCCCAGCCCGCCCTCACAGCGTGCCACAGCAGCACCACCGCGGCTCCCGCGGAAGCTCTCGGGACCCCTGGGCAGGCCCCCGCCCCCTGCCAATCCTGGACTGGCACTGAGGGGTGAGTGAGGTTACCGAACGACCGCCAGAGCCCTCCAGACAAGCTGGATCTCCTGCCCCCTCTAGGGGACCAACAACCGGAGCGGCGAGGGTTGGGGGTACAGGGAACGTCTCGGTCGCTCCCAGTCCAGCGAATGCTGGGCACTAACCAATGGGCGACTGCGGCCCAACGGGGATCCCTCCGAAGCAGCCAATGACCTCTCTCCTCTCTCCACCCCCGCCAACCCCGCGCAGCTGGACCATTGGTGCTGGTGGGATGGGGGGGAGTGTGCGCGGCGCTGGCCCTTCGAGGGAGGGGGCGTGGCTTGGAGTCCCAGCTCCTCTCCCCACCCGGGCTTTGGCCCCCGCACTCCCTACCCCAGCCGCGAGGCCATTGGGCTGGCTACGGCGCCGCGGCGGAGGTGGACTACGGGGCGCGCAGTGGGCGTGGCCCGAGGGCGTGGCCCGGCGGGAGGCGGGGCCGCGGGTGCTGTCTCAGTGAAAACCCGAGCTGCCGCGGTAGCGGCGGGGGCGTCCGGGTGGTGTGCGCGCCTGTGGGGCGCAGGCTCGGCAGCGGCGGCGGCGCGGCGGCTCAGTCTACGGCGGCAGCGGCCCGTCTGGAGCGGCCGCGGTGAGGACGCCAGCTGCGGCTGGGGAGGCGCAGCCGGGACTGCGCGCTCCGCGGAGCCGGCGGGGACCGGGAACAGGTGATCCCAGCAGGAACCCGGAGCCCTACCGAGTTGGCTGGGCGGGAGCCCGCACTCCCGGGCGCAGCTGCAGCCGCCCCGCCGCGGCTGGTCGCGAAAGGCGCCGGGCTCCAGACAGGGGGCCCGGCATCCCTCCGCTCCCGAGGGCCCGGGAAGACCCTGCTCCGCAAGCTCAGAAGTGCCTGCCCTCTCTCCCCGGCGCCCGCTCTGCGGCGGAGCAAAGTTGTAGACGTGTCCCTATAGCCAAGCCCGGGCACTGTCGCGACCCGGCCGGGCCGGCGCGCTCTCGGAGCGCAGCTGACACGCCGGCCCCGCCGCCACCTCTCCCCCGGAGCCGACCCCCTCTGGAAACTGCTTCTGAGGCTAAAACTTTGGGCCGAGGGGCTGAGGGCGGCTCGGAGCGGGGACGAGGCCTGCGTGCGCCCCTCCGCGCCGACAGCCTGGGCGCCGCGGACGGCATGTGACGGCCCCGGCGGCCGCCGCAGCGCGGGAAAGCGCGGGCCCCGCGGGCTCCGGCCGCTGCGAGGAGGGGCCGCGCGGCGGCCGGAGGGAAGGCTGCGGCGCGCGGTCGACCCCTGCGGGCCCGGGCCCCGAGCCGTGCCGCCTCGCTCGCCCGGGCCCCGCCGAGGCTGCTGCTCCCCCGTCCCGGCGCGGGAGGACTCGCTCCAAACTCCCTGAACTTCAGGAGCAGCCCCCGCAGGGCGAAACTCTCAGGGGCCCCCACCCCGGGCGGCGCCCCTCGACGACCTCCCCTCGCCGAGCCCCCTGCTGACAAGTGCCTGGACTCCCAGGGCCTCAGGGGCCTGGCCGGATCTGACTGTCCCCAGCCCCGTGCCCGGCAACGATGCTCATGAGGAAAGTGCCCGGCTTCGTCCCGGCCTCCCCGTGGGGGCTGCGGCTGCCGCAGAAGTTCCTCTTCCTTCTCTTCCTCTCCGGCCTCGTCACCCTGTGCTTCGGGGCCCTGTTCCTGCTGCCCAACTCCTCTCGCCTCAAGCGCCTCTTCCTGGCCCCCCGGATCCAGCAGCCCGGCCTGGAGGCAGTGGCCCAAGTCGCCGGCCACCCCGTGACCCGCGAGCAGGAGTCGCCTCCGAACCCGGCCCCCGCGGCTCCAGCCCCGGGTGAGGACGACCCCAGGAGCCAAGCCAGTCCCCGCCGCGGGAAAGGGTGGCTGCGGCGCACCCGCCCCACCGGGCCGCGGGAGGAGGCCACGGCGGCCCGGGGCAGCAGCGCCACGGCCCTCAGACCGCAGGAGGGGAGCATCTCCTCTAGCTTTGACTTCAACGCCTTCCGAAGCCGCCTCCGCCACCCGGTCCTGGGCACTACGGCCGACAAGAGTAAGGAGCCCCAGAGCCTAGTTCAAAGCCAGCGGGAGAAAATCAAGGAGGTAAGGACTCTTCTCCCCGCACAAAAGAAAAGACCCTCTTGTGCTTCCATCCATTTCCCCTGGGCCCAGTCACTCCCGGGCTCCCTGGTCTACTCTAGGTCCTCCAGGCACACTCTGTACCCTCCTCCCTCCTCCCAAACTTCCCGCCTTCACTCCTGCCTGCACAGTTTTCCACTACCGGGTTCAGTTAATCATCCACACCCCCGATGGTAGCTGAACCACTGGACCAACTTTCCCCCACCCCCAGACTCTGGTCTTTCCAGTCCAGTCCTCAGCCCAGGTGGGGCCTGCTCCCTCCCTTTGTGGAGATGTTTTAATAAGATTTTTGTGGCGTTGCTAGTTAGGCTTATTAATGGACACCCTTTCTGTTTGAAGGGGCCAAGAGCCATGTTGTTTCTCACTGTGTGTCTTTAAATTGTGACATCTCCCAACCCCCTTTAGGATCTGCTACCTGGAAAGCCAGGATTTGGGGGGTATTTGGTGACCTGCAAGTATTTTGCAGTCTAGCCAGCAACCTACAAGCCAGAGGATGTTGTGCATTCTTGCTAACTGTTTCTATTGAGCTTTGGAACAACTGTACGTAATTGCGTGTGATGCAAGGAGCAATGATCCCTAAGGCCGTGGTAATGTCACAGAAGCTCTGAGGTTATTGGCTTAATGTAGCAGGTCTTGGACTTGTTCCCTGTAGGGATTGTACCAGAGAGGGGTTAGAAGGATCACTTTGAGTCTGAATCTTAGTCTTAATTTAAGAAACCAAAAGCAAACGCAGCCTCACTGTGGCTTGAAGACAGTTGCCAAGCCACCACTGATAACTAAATGTTCTGCTCAGTCCCTGTTAGAGCTGCCTACTGTTGGAGCCGCCTGCGCAAGGTTTTTGCCCAGCACTGCAGAGGGGGCTGCAGTGACACCCCCGGGCCACGAGGGGGCTGTGGGCAAGCAGTGGGCCAGGGTCTCCTCCCTAGAAAGGAGAGGATGCTCCCCCGATCCCCGTGGACCCAGAATGAAAGGACTGCTTCTGCCTGGACTTCTTGGTTTGCTGCAGAGCAGTCAGCAAGTCTGCCCTGATTTCCAGGAAGAGCAGGCAGCAAGAGTCAGGACCTGCCCTGTCAAGACCTGCTCAGAGCCAGTGGAGAGCTTAGCTGTCCTTCTCTCCTTGTCCAGTGTATCCTGTCTCCCAACGCCCACCTCTCCCTACTTATCTCTGCTGTTGTTACTCAGCCTTCTATGCTAAGCCCTGTGGAGACTCTATCTTAACTAGCAATCACTGGACATTTTGTGATGTCAGTAGAGGAAACCACAAAGACGAGTCCTTGTTTCCCGTGTGCAAGCACACACTCTCAGTTTCCAAATTCTTGTTGAAATCCCAAAGGTTAATTGAAGCCTGGAACTTGCAGTAGCTAAGAAAGGGGCATCATTTCTCCCCCACTGTTTAAGGAGCTGTGTTGTTGAATACTCACCTGAACCACCCCAGCTCCCTTTCCTAAAGCTGCCTCTGAAAACATTAACCCTTTCAGACCTCCTTGAAGGGCAGTAACCCGCAGTGAAATTACGTTTAAACTATATGCATGCAGTTTTTCACGGGGTGTAGAGCTGCCATCAGATCTTTAAAAGGATGCCCCAAAGGGTTAAGAGTTACCTACTGCCCTCTTCAAAAGGTGCTTTCTGCATTTGCGTCTAGATATGGGACCCATTTCTGAGAGCCTGCGGTTGGGAGCCATGTGGGAAGGAGGGTGGGCTGTCTAGCGGGGGACCAGGTTCTGCCCCTCAATACAAAGAGAACCTCCCTTGTGGGCAGAGGCTGGGGGTGGTGGGAGGTGTGGAGACTCTTCTTTGCAGGTGGATGTAAAGTAACACAATGGGTGGAGGCCTGTGTTGGTTGCCAGATGTCTGGATCTTTCTATCTGGCATCGCTGTACACCCCTGGTAGTAGCCGGAAGCCTGCTCGTCTATACCTGCAGTTGTTCAATGAGCCCCCTCTTACTATCTTGAAGACGTTAAGCTCCTCAGAATGGAGGGGACGGGACTATATACACTATTATATTTTGAAGCCCATTTTCTCTTCAGGCTTCTCGAGTTTGGACCTCCCCCGGTCCCCAAACAACCTAAAAAAATGTGGGGCAGAGTGTTTGTTTTAGCTGTTAACACAGAGTTAACTTCCCTGGTGTCCCACCTGATGAGGAATGCAGTTGACAATTGCTGGAGGATGTCTTTATTTCCTTCTCATTTAAATTTCTATCTGTGCCATGCCCATGGGTAGATCATGTTAGAAAGGTGCCTGTTTTCATAAAAGGGACTGTTGCTTTCCTCCCTGGCTTGTTTTTTTTCCAGACATGGATTGATTAGACCCCAGGAGCAGAGGGACAGCTAGCATCAGATAAAAAGGGCTCTGTTCTTATAAGATGAGGTTTTTAAAGCGAAAGTAAACTTCAAGAGAGATTCAGAGAGGGTGATAAATGAGAGTGAATAAAGACTGGACACTTGGGCTCTAGATCAATGAAGCATACTTATGAACATTCTAGTTTGAGAGATGGACATGGGCTCAAGGTCTCTGCTGATAAGATGGGCTGAAGCTGCATGTTCTGGGTGTAGACACATCAGGAAACAATCTGTCACTAGAACCAACATTTTCTCCTCAGTTCGCAATTTTGGAACCTTGGAGGAGGCAGTGTGGTGGAAAGGGTAACCCAGAGGACATTGATTCGAGTCTCAGCTCAACTGTCTGACTTTGGACAAGCCACCTCCTCTCCTTCCTGGACCTTATTTTTCCTTCTGTAAAATGGAATGAGAGAGGGGGGAAGAGGCTGGTCACAAACTCTTGCTTCCAGACCTGGCCCCTAAGTAGACTGCCACTCTGGCCAGGGACTCCATAGCAGCTGGGCTTTTCCCAGCTCTGTTTTCGGCATGTCTTAGTTCCATGAAGTAAGGGAAAATGTTGTGTTGTTGTTGATGATGGTGATGGTGTTCACTGTTGTATCCCTAGCACCTAGTCAAGAGTAGATATTCACATAGTTGATTAAGTTAAGTATTCCTCTCACCCATATTGAACTTTAGAGAGGGGGTTGAACAGTGACAGATCCTCATCTTGGGATCATGGAGAGTAAAGGGATTGGTGAGAATGAGAAACGGCTTGCTAGCAGCCTTTCCTTTCAGATCTGATGATTATATAGGAAATTATTGTTATAATTATTTTAGGGGACCTTGGTCATAGGTGGGTTTCTCTTCAAGTTCAATAGACTTTTCTCACACATGACAAGAGTTGGGAGTGAATAGCTTGTCAGGGTTACATCCCAGTGAAAGGTTTCAAACTATGTTGTGTCCTACTAATGATGGTTGGTTGCTGATCTGGAGCACCTCAGTTGTCCCTTCAGGGAAGGGAGCTTTTGTTAAAGGGAACTGGGCAGAGTAGGGCTGTGAGAACATAGCACTGGAGTGGGGCTGCCCCTAGCCCATAGGAAGAATGTGGATTGAATTTTACCCCCATCCCCGTCCCCTCTGCCCAGTGCCCTTATGCACCACTGTATGTGGCAGTCGCCCTGAGTGTCCAACCTGTGTTCAAGTCCTAGCCATGCCATCAACCCTGGTCTCAGGGGAAAATTCCTGTTTATCACTGGGCCTCAGTTTTCGTGGTAAAATGAAGAGACTGGCATTTAGGGGAGCCTTTTCTCTCCCTCGCTCCCACCTGTTTACTGTTTTGTTTATGGATCTGCCCAAGCACCTAGAATAGGATATGACACTTAGTTGGAGCCCAGATACTTAGTTGGAGCCCAGAGTGGCTACAGGAAAGATCTATAAACTAACAGTTAAGGTTACTGGTGGCAGAAGCTGGGTCTTCTTCCTGAGGGTACATGGAATTCTAAGAGTCGTAGAGTAGGGGCCACAGCAAGGTTTGGGGGCTTGGCTCTGTGACCCAAGAAGCCTTTTAGAAGTTGCAGTAATTTTCCAAGTGCAAGTCTAACTTAAAGGGACTGGAGAGGTGGCAGCCGTGAGTAAAATCTTTCATGCCTGGATAGCAGGCATCTGGAGGATGCCCGAATCACCCTGGAGTCTCTGAGACTTGGCAGGGAGTGCCCCAGCTCTTGCCTTCCATGTCTGCTGTGTTCAGCCTCCAGGATATTGCTCGTTGTGATATGTGACTATGTCTGAATAAGTCATCTTGGCAAATGATCTTTGCTCCCCATTAATGGGCTGGTTCGTTAGTCATGTGTGGTTTCTCTGTATATCTGATTTATCACTGCTAGTCCCAGGGACAGGTAGAAAAATTAAAAGGCTTTGTGTTCTTTGTAGCATGTGAATCTGAGGCTGTGAGATGTTCAGGATAATTAATATGAGGAACACCTCAGATTTAAATAGCTTTCCTTTGAAGAGCTCTGTTTCAGTTGAAAATCCACTGAAGATTTTTCCCCCTTGTCCTTCAGTTTCTCTCTTGTCCTGCTCTATGATACATTTAATATAGACGGGAAGATTGCCCTATAGTAACCAGACAGGTCCGTTGGGAGACCCTTACATCATAAGCCCAGCTATACACTTCATTCTTCTTCCTTAGAACTGAGCACTGCAAGTAGACCAAAGCTTAGACCTTGTCCCCACCAGGTGTATGACTTAACACCCACAGGTTGGGTGGATCTCTGCTTTCATTGTGAGCTGCACCATAATTTTAGGGACTTGGTGCAGGCATTCCAAGAGCAATTGCTTCTCAGGCCTCACATCCTTAACTCTGTCTTTAGTGTTAGCTTTAGAAACAAATAGTACAATGACTTTTAAAAGTCAGCTGCTTATTTCACACTGTAGTTAGCAGGGCGGTAAGAACATAGATTACCCTGCAGTTTTCAGAGTGACTGATTTACATCTGAGCTCAAGAAATGCCTTTTCTCTAGCTCTTCCCGAAGACTGATCCATTACTCCACCAAAAAATAAATATTGTGATATATATCAGGCATACTTTGCTCAAAGGACTTACATCTTTTCTCTTACTGAAGAAAATAAATCAGGCTCGCAGATTG